GCTATCGAATGCAATTTAACGATGTTTTTGCACCATATCTGTACGTAAGGACAGAATAAAAATACTCTTTTCCTTCAAAAAAATTATAAAACTGCTTAAAAAAACTGAAACTAAAATTAATTCTGAAGAGAATTTTTCGTGGCTTCTGTACGAACGTATGTACGTACGTACGTACTCACATAACTCAAAAACGAGAGTAGCCTCAGAACGTTGAAATTTTGTATATAGGACTGCTATAACATGTATATGTGCACCTCGTATTTTGGTTGCAATCGGCCACACCAAACGTATATAAATATATTTATATATATATCCACTCTATGACTTGAAATATTGAAGAAGGAATTTCCTTGCCTTTAATTTGTCATCGCATAAAAAATGTGTTATGTTTTAAGTGGCCACTACTCTTATCATTTTGATATAATTTTTGTGTTAACATATGGTAAAATGTTTTATCGAGGTAACAGTTATATGTTTCCAGCATGATTAGAAAATTGTATGTTTATAATAGCTGCTGCTATTATACTGGGAATGGGTCATTATAATTTTGTTCATATGGACATGCACTGACTGTTTTATATTCAGAGCACTTGAAAAGATGATAATATTGAAAAATTCATTTTCGTGCTGTTGAGTGTTTGCTGCATAAAATGGTATCTGGGTTGTATTTAAATGGCTACCACTTAATGTTTAGTAAGTGGTTATCATTTGGTGTTAACATACTGTAAAATGCTTTCTCATGATAAAAGTTGTGTTTCAGCATGCTTACAAGATGACAAGTTTATGGTAACTGCTGCTTTTATACTGAGAATGGGTCATTATAATTTATATTTTTTATATGGGCATGTACTGACTGTTTTACACTTAAAAATATTGAAAAATTCATTTCCTTGTCTTTAATTTGTTGTTGTGTAAAAAAGGGTCTATGTTGTGTCTTTAAGTGGCCATTACTTATATCATCATTTGAGTATAATTTTCATGTTACCATATGATAAATTACTTTATCAAGATAACAGTTATGTGTTTCAGCATGGCGACAAAATAACAGGTTTGTAATAACTCCTACTATTATTCTGGGAATTGGCTGAATAAAGGGTGTCTCTGATTAGGAGCACTCATTTCACAAACCTGTGATTTTCATGTGCATTTTGAAATTACCGGTGTCCCATAATTAAGACTGGTGGCTTTCTGGACAAATCATTTTGATATATTCTTTGCTTAAATTAAACAAGCCTGATAGCGAGTAACTTAGAAGATCACGATTTTAGCTTGGAAAAATTACAACAAAATTGTGTTGCATGTAGTGACCAGATACTTTCAAATTGGATACTGGTGCATAGGTAAAACATTTTTATTATTTTCTATATTTGAAACATTAACTGATAATCACTTCCTTTACACAACATCAATAAATGTTTTTACATATACTGGTGATGCTGACATCCATTTGCTGTTGAATGTATCTTTATATGCTTCATAAATAATAATAGCCATCGTATAAAATTTAATATCATTTGTGCACCTGAAGTGTTTTAAATGGTAATGGACGGTCTTCTCAAGTGTTTGCCCGATATTTATCCATATTATGGCAGTATCGTAATACATTTTGAAACTATTAATTGGCTGTTGTAAAAAGTTAATAACGGTGTTTGTAATTGCCAGACAAAATGGGTTGAAATTTAACGAATAGAAACTTGAACTTGCAGTATCAAAATTTAAATATTAAGGTCACATAGTCTCATCTTATTGTTTCTGATGAGACCCAATTAATATAGAAGCAGTTTTGAAATTTTCACACCTGTTAATAAATAAGAATTGATGAGATTTCTTAGTATGGCAATATGCTTAATGAGATTTCTGCTTCAATTTTTACAAGAAAGTTTGAATAATTTATTGATAAAAAGAGATCAGCTGGTTTTAACTTATTTGTATGTTATAACTTAGGTGTTGTGTTGTTATATGCTGACTGCTTGCATAAAATTGTAAATAAATTTTTTTTATTTTTCACTTGTGAATCTTTATTTTCAAGTTCAGCTATATAACTAACACAATACAGTTAAGTACATATACAACTAATATTATTGGTTCTACAGATTTAAGCAATAATTTTAAATTGCACATTGAATTATTTGCTAAGCAAACCTCTGATATACTAATTTATTTGAAACTTGCAAGACACATAGCATATTATAGACAAAATTTAGTGCATTTTTATACCATTTTCTTTTAAAGACAAATTACTGATTGGAAGAAAAATGAAATGATAAGTAATAGTTTGTATGCAGATAATTTGGGTTTTTTTCATAAATATTAGAAAAATATAAAGCAATATTAAATTATGAGGGAAAAGTCAGAAATTCCTTTTTTGAGTTAGTATGGCTGATTTTTAACTTTTTAAATGCTGCTGTGAAACCTACAAGGAAGTATAATTCATTAAAGTCAAGAAATAAGAAACAAAAAATTCTTAAATTTATGTCAAATTTTATTGTGTTAAATTTTGAAGTAATTAAATTATTCATTATATATAATTGAATCTCTGAATAAAATCCCACCCAAGTATCTATATCAAATAGTGAAATCAACGTTAAGTACGGCACTAGCGCGCAGCCTGTTTTGTTTCGTTGCTCTCTCGGGGTTTCGACATAGACGACTACGCGTGACGTCACAATCCAGTGTCCCGGCTTCCTTCTATAAGGAGGTGTTGCCTGTACCCATCTGGCTTAGTGTTATCCTTGCCGGGGCTTAGGCAATAAAATAACTTTTGCGATTTTCCTTTTTGTGGGAAAAATAGCATTGACTAAGACACGCATTGATAATACTCGTGAATTTTGTCACACCATTTCAGGGCAGATTTCTAAGTGCGTGATTATTAATACCGTCTATGCAAGGGCCTTTTTGACTTTAAGCTTCTTTGTGATTTCTTTGATCTCACTGGGGGTAGCAGTGGCCATGTATCTCTTAGCAGTGTGGGCATTAAGCCAATCCCTAACAAAGTAGCATGCCTCATTGACAAAATTAATGTCCATGGGCGTCATATTAGGTCTGGACTACTCTTCTAAATGGTCCGCAAGGAGCGTCGATTTGTCTTTATTATTGAGAGCAACAGAGTTTTCAGTATAAATCGGCTTATTGCATGTACGCTGCCTTTTCAAGTTACGCATGAACGTCCAGAGAGTGCCATCATTCAGACTAAGATTCTGAAGTTTTTTCCTCCCATACATCTTCTCTTATGCTCCTCTATTTTCTTTTTAATTAATTTATTTAATTTTGTTCATATCTCTTTTAACGTGAAGGGCTCCATGTAAGGTGCCACGCTTTCCTCATCCTATTCCGGTCCTTAATCATCTCTCTAATTTCCTGTGGCAGAATGCCAGCGTTATTATTTCTTCTCACGTGTCTAGATGCATTTTCAATAGCATTATTGATTGAATCAGTGAGGTTATCAACTGCATCATCTATATCTTTCCGCGAGTTCAGAGTATCAAAAGATGGGCGGATTCTGACTGAGAAACTTCTGGAACTTATTTCAGTTAGTCGTGCGGATCATTTCATTTTCTGCCTCTTTAGTAGTGCCTAGGTAAGCAATGACCGGTATATGGTCAGAGTGCAGAGTTCAGACTTGCTCGTACTTTATCCGATAGGTTAGGGAGAAGTTTTAATAGAAAATCCAGATCAATTCTTTCATCCTCAGTCAAAGGTAAATCCTTCTCTTTAGAAGTTAATTCCGCATATCGAGCGAAGATTAGTTTGACCAGTGACATATTGATCATGTCCTTAAACCAGTTCAGTCATCAGGGAAAAAAGGATGCAAAGAATCAGTAAAATCGCACTAAGGCCTTTTTACTACTCTTTGGTCACTTAAGACCGGTGAGCAACCTTTTATGTGCTAACAACTGATCGTAGAAGAAAAATCAAATCGACTTAATAAAACCGAGAGCCGTGCTAAGAGAAGTGACCGAACTGGTTCCTCAAAAGATTCCCATGTATCCTTTACAATTGTAGAGACACTGATGGCGAAAAATGTGCTACAACAGTAGAACTATTTGCTATTATTTCGATGTAATTTGTCTAACATAAGATATTTCATCCATTATATTTTGTAATGAATTTAATTTTTATTTGCGAACATAAATTAATTTAACATTATAATTAATTAAAACCTTCTATCTTTCTTTAACTTAGGATAAATGTAAAAAACAATATTATTTTTGAAATCAAAATTTCATCTTTCTTAATCTTTGTAACCTTCCCGATTTTGCACTCTTGTGAAATTATCTTCACCTCTGTTTTGTAACTGACAATAAATATTTCAGAAACTGTTCAACAAACTATTAGTTATCGCCAAGAAATATTTCAGTAGCCTCACATCTGTATTTTATCTCTGTACTGAAATTTCAGTTTCCGCCGTTGAAATATTTATCGCTTAACGTTTTATAAAGTTTCTGCCAACCAAAAATTATCAAGTAAAAATTAACTAGAAATATCGTAAGAAACCTTTCAGTATCCGGTCTCTTTCGGTGAAAGAGAACTGGAGTAAGGTTGAGACAGCAGTATTTATTAGTACGGTTTTTTCATGGTTTCGTAATATTAAAATATTTCCATTTCTTTTGTTGTCTTTTGAAAGAGCTCAGTTATTTTGAGCTTTTGTCTGGATATTGAATAAAATTTCATTGGCAGTTATCGAAACAGTGGGTGAAGGGCAAAGAAAGTTAAACACTAGTAGTCACGTGAGAAATTTTAGATTCACTAAGGGTCTCATGAAAAATATATGAATGTAATTAACACTCTAAATTTAGAAGACACACAGAAATTGAAGCTGTTATTAGTATTACTTACCACTTGAAGCCTAAGAGTGAACACCCAGCCTCAAAAATAATTTCGATATGAAAATTAAAATGGCCTCAGAACTGCAGATAATGTCATCAGTAATTTAGCCAAGTACCGGAAACATTCAATCTAGAAATGCCTTCTTGATTACAAATTCATTTACAAATTTGTGCACATTCTACTTACAGGTGATCAGCTACAGCAGCCTGTCTGAACCAGAACCAAGGAGGATAAGAGAAATGTTAAGCAAGCTGGTAGTTATCAAACTGAATGGTGGATTAGGAACTACCATGGGATGCACTGGGCCCAAATCTCTAATTCCTGTGCGAAATGAGCTCACCTTTCTAGATTTGACCGTCCAGCAGATAGAGGCAAGTATCACCGTTTAAGACATTTTATAAATCTGTTATGGCATGCTATATATAATATCGCCTATTTTAGTTTAGTTCACTTAGCATTTCAAATTTTGTCATTCGAGAATAAATGCATACTGAATAACAAAAGCAGTAGAAACGTCTCCTTAACGTTCTCCTAAAGTATGACTGACAGGTTGTACTCACAGGCTACTATTCTGTCAGATGATGAGATAATAGCAAGGTTACGCATTTTTAAATGTTATCAGCGACTTCAGCAGAGATATTGCTACCGGATTCATTGATCCATTATAGATCTTAGCACCTTTTAGGAAGCTAAGTAAAGTTAAATTCAAGGCGGCTGGATGGTCTGAAACTCCAGAAGAATGTTGTTTTAGGTATAATGGGATGACGGCGGAAATAGAAAATATTATTTTTTCGTCTTCGGGCTAAACTCATCTCCGGGATCCGCGAAGGTAATGAACAAGTTAAGATGATCATTTAGCACGTACTGTAAACATCATTATTTAAATAAGCACGCTAAGGGTTAAATGTGTTCCATGAGAAGTTGTGTATGGTACCGCAAAGTGTAAATCGGTTTCACAAGATGGATCCATGACTTGATGTTGTTTGTTGACCTTTATCCTTCCAAAAGCCTGAAAATGGCACTCGTTAGGCTTGACAGATGTTCACTTTTGTTACTCCAGTTAATATGCAAAGTGCACTGGTAGATATAAATATGCGTAGTCAACAGTACTGCAAGATTATGAGTCGTTTTCTATAGTTTAGGATATCTAATACACCCCATATTTAGTGTTCATTGATGTATATTAGTGCTTCGGTATTGCATTTGAATATGATCTGCTATACTTTTGTTCGAATGCCTGTTCGAAGAGCCCGAGTTTGAATTTTGGAGAAGGCATGGATGTTCGTAAGTATCTCTGACGTAGGGGCGCACTCAAAATACACGATGAGCTGAAATGTTTTGGTAGGGATTGGTAGGGATAGAGGGATGAAAGACCCTCGGACCGGCCCCTGGAAATTTTTTCTCGAAATTCCGTACTACAGCACGGTCTTTTGCTACTACTACTACTATAGGAACTACAGTATTTTACCGTTTTCCCGCTCGCCCACAAGGGAGATGCGTGCTCTGACAGGTCTATGGAAATATTTTTAAAAATTTATGTAATGTTATATGTTACAACTTTTAACTTCCACCTAAACTGAAGTCTGTGAATGGTTAATTACGTAAAGGCAAGGGTTTGTTACTACGGATTGTCGAATAATAAAGGAAACAACTTAATTGAAAATTCGATGCTGCTGTGATAAAAAAGTGGATATTTAACCTATACAAACGCTCTTTAACACTTGTATTAAAATTTACTATCGTGAAAAAAATCGTAGTGAACCTTTTCTTTGCTTTATTTTCTAGCATCTTAATAAAACGTACGACGCTGATGTACCATTAGTACTTATGAACTCATTCAACACAGACGAGGAAACCCACAAAGTTCTGCCAAAATATCGTGGTTTACGTATCAAGATTTATACTTTCAATCAGAGCAGGTATGTATTTAATTGATAGTGAAAAGGGGGATATACAGTTTTGATAAATGTTATTATGGCAGATGCTGCTTTTGTAAAGATTTTTATTTTATTATTTTTGTTTTTGATATATGTTACAACAGAGTTACATATTTATTTATTTCTATACGTAACAGAAAGACGACAGAAGTGTATTTCAGTTTACTTTTAAATTAAGACTGGAAGAATATAATGTTCTATGCTTAAACTAAAGAAATTGTTATTACTTCAATAAATAAAAATGCTGCATTAGTTTCACAATTCCAAGGTTGCTTCAGGTTTACGGTAATTAACTGCGAAGACGAAACCTAACTCAAAATGGCCATTCTGCTAATATCGGTACTTCATTTTGCCCTTTCATGATCTAATGAAATATAAGCTTTATAGTGCAGTTTCTTCTGCAAGAGAACGATTGGGTAACACTCTCACTTTTGTAGATGACATAATAGTTAACTTTTCAAGGCTTGGGAAATGGCTTTTGCATTTTCCCGCTCTTCCACACCATCATGTTAGCCATAATTCTCATACGTTATGTTCTCCTGCTGACGCAGTTCCATACAGGATGGGGAATCCGCCCAGTATGACCATGTGACCAGTATGACCATAGGTCAGCATGCACATGCGCATTTGTGCCTTTGGTAGCAACTGCCGCCGAAGGACTTGAAGAACGGTAATAAGACTTGATATATTTTGTTTACATTTGTGGAAGCATAAATTCTTTCTTGAAGTTTAACAAAAATTTAACAGTTAAGCACTATTGAGACAAAATATATACTAGTTAAACTTCATGCAGTTTTATTATCATCAGTACCTGTCATATTCTAAACATAAATAAAAATTTCATGCATATATCATTAATTTTTTTGCTAAAATTGTATGTAAAACTGTGAAGAAGGAGAACTCGCCCAGCAGATTACTACTTTGTTAAAAACATGATTTACTGCGTTTTTTGTAAAAGAGATAACTTAACAGTTTTTTTTTTATTTAAGTAACATTGTCAAATTGGTTATTTGTGTTTTACATTCAGTGGTATTTTATGGCATGTAGGTATCCAAGGTTGAACAAAGAAAGCTTACTTCCTATTGGCAGGACGCTTAAAAATCCGGATCCGGAAGCGTAAGTAGTTATTTTTGTTAACCTTTTAGTCCAATAATAGTAATAATAATGAAATAACTGACCTTTAATAACTAACTTTAATAATAAAATATTATACTACTGTTTTGTTAGAGAATATATTGGAGAAATCCAGTTAACTATAGTGTGCAGTAAAATTTATTGATAACCAACCATAATTTAGAAGAATTTAGTCTTCCGTGGAGGTTGTTGTCTTATGATGTGATGTACTGGTATTTGATTATGTTCTTAGGTCTACTGGTTCCTTTCAAAAATGGTCGTAAGGAGAAAGTGTAATGTATTCAGTTGTTTCCTGAATTATAATTTCATTTATTAGGAATTTTAAAATACTCCACTGTTAACTCAATTACAGATGACAATTTTGGACTGAAGTATATAATACACGGAATTTAAAACATCTGTTATTCATTATAATTAATGGGACATGTTCACACAGAAATCATGAATTATATATTGTACATGGGTTAGTTATCTTGTACCTTGCATGAGTTAAGATACCAAAGAGTAAAACAAAAGTTTAACAAAAAGCAAAAGCTATATTGTTTTGAAATAGCCAAATTTATTTTAATTTGAAAAATAAAAATCTTGCACCGTATCGAAGGGCTACGCTTTTGAGAATTGGCAGTTTACCTGGTCGTATAGCTAATAAATGATCAGGTAACGTAATGTAACATGACGCGGAAATCAAAAACCTAAGGTATAGATTTCCTCACGTCAAATATATCGGTATTACAGTGCTCTTGAGTACGGAGGAATTCTAGTTTCGTCACAATTTAGAGATCGGAATATAAGAAATTGAATAATATTCTGACTATACATATAAATGAATGTTTTCTGTATGATGGAAGAAAGAGATTATAAATTCTATTAGTTTTTATGAGCTTTAACATAAAGATATAACCAAGTTTCAACATACGCTAGCCGTAAGTATTACGCAAATTTGTTAATAATGGAAATGCTTAATATATACGATGATGCGCTGTTAGAAAACCTAATGATAAAAAAAAAGATATAATCTGAGCACTACGTTATGCTAAACCAAAAAGAAACAAAATTTTCCCTCACTGCAGCTAATAGATTAACTTTTAAATGAAACCAACTACCATTAACTTTTGAGGGAAATAATTCTTCATTCTTTGTGATATAAGTTAAATGGGAGCGATAAAGAAAAAATTGAGCCCACACGAAGCACCTCTGTGATTAATTAAATGCTTTAGCAGCCGTAATCAACGGTCCAAATCTTCTTTGGAGTTTACTTGATAAGCTGAAGCATCGCTAATTGACTGCCTTTCTAACAGATAGCAGCTCAGATCAGTCACCCCTGCCCCAGCGGCATCGCCAGGCGTGTAGAATATTAACGAACTATTCATGAGATAGTAGTAGCCTAGCCTCCAAATTATGCAGACACTGTCTATAACTTTCTTTGATCACTCTTATTCATTAATGCGAATGTTTAATTTATTTTAAAAGGTAGTTATTTGTTTTTGGAAATGAAATTAAATATGAATTTTTTAATTCATAATTTTGTATTCTGGTAAGTAGTTTATCTGCTAATGTCTTAAATAATCTCAGTGGTTCGGTAATTTTTTTTTTTTGCTTGTGAAAAGAATAACAATACAGTATACCGGAAGCAAAATGCAATAAAAATTCATTTACCCGAAATGTTGGGGAGGAGGGGGGATCGTTTTGGATAATCCATCCAACTGCAGCTCATCCTTATAAATCGAATGTTCAGATAATTAGATTTACTGCTTTCTGTAAACCAAATAATATCTATATACGGTACTTGGGTATTTGCCGCACCTGCCAACACACCATCAGTAACGCACCCTGAATTTTTCGAACGCTGCCTCAACTCTAGAAATTCTTTCAGATTCTTCTAAAAAGATGCTATTTTAAAATTATTTTTCTTTCCTTTTTTGTTATTGTTTTCTGTCCGGAAATGTCTTCACTTAGTCCTGAGTAAGTAAAGAACGTAGAGCGTGAACGAGAATATGCTAACTTCATTGGTTCAGTGTAAAGTTATCTCCTGATTCTAACTTCATTATTTGAGTGGATTATTCTCCTTTTGCGGTTGCAGTGTGTAAGAGTTACCCTTATTTATTTAACTAAGCGTGGAGATGGCTTTTTTTAAAATTTTATTTCAACATCAACTTCAATTAATTCTTTCCTTCAGAAAGTTCTTGGAACAACAGTTGTTCATTTAGTGTTATTTTTACTGCATTTTGCATCATAGGTTTACTAGCTTTAACAAAAAAATGAAACAGAGGCATTTCATTATTATCAGGCATATGGTATTTTACCAAAAATATTACAGTATTTTAATTTTTCACACGGTGAAACTGTACATGATTGAAAATGTATAGTGGGAAGAGTGTCAAAAACTGCCGAAAGAATGTTAGAATAAGAACCTGGAATTAGTTTGAGATAAATAACTTGACTTTCCATCTAGCAGAGCTCAGCTCGTATAAAAGCAGAGATGGTTATAGGTAATAATGAATATAATGTGATTTTGAATACGATTGTCGAGAAATACTCTCCAGAAATCAAAAAAATATTTTTAAATTGTTCCTTTGACACCGAAATTAGACTTCATTGTCAAAACGCGCCAATAAATTGTTAGTGGTATATTGTCAGGTACAGGATAATATCCAAGTACCCTATTTGCTTTGTAGTTAAGGGAATTATATATTTTTTGCTTTTTAATATACACTGGTCATCAAAATTAAAGGATAATGAGGAAAAAATATGCTCACTAAGTTATAATATTGCAACCAATGCTCAAAGCTGGTAATCATTTATGTCAATTAAATACAACTGAATACAATTTCACTTTCACGCGTACATTAGCGCCGGAAATATGCAAATTCGGTGACTGATAATGTGGTGCGCAATGGATGCATGTTGGATTTCTGGTCTGTTGTGCTATTTAAAGTGAAGTGGTTTCTGAGAGTGATCAGTATTCAAAAGTAATGTCTCAAAGGCGACATTTCATTGAAGGTCAAAAGTGACGAATACTCAAGTCGAATCGAGGAAGGTTAAACACAAATGGAGATCGCCCAAGATTTTAATTTCCCTCAAATTATCATATCAAGAGTTTGGAGCAGCTTTTTAAGCACTGGATCAGTTGATACACAGCCTGGTTAAGGGCGGCCAAGAGCAACAACTGCATCAGAAAATGTTTTTTTGTCGTTGTCAGCTCGAAGAAACCGCGAAGCGACAACAGGCGAGATCTTCAGGCTGCCACAAGAACTCGAATCAGCTCTTCTACTGCTAAACGAAAGCTTAATTGAAATTGGACTGTATGAGAGAAAACCAATGGTTTGTATCCCACTCATTCCAGCTCCCAGATGGGCTCATTTAAACTCCTGCTGTCGTCATATTCAATGAAGCCAAGACGAATGGGCACGAATATTGTTTATTGACGAGCCCAAATATAGTCTGAACAGTGATTCTAAACGTGTTTTGGTGTGGAGAGTGGAAGGAATATGCAATTTCCCTTCCCTTGTCCGTGAAATATCTAGTTTCTGCTACTGCAGTTTAATGGTTTGGGGGAGGAGTCATGACAAACTGGGCTCCCTGAGCTGCAATATCTTTCAAGAAGGTTCTGTAACTGCTCGGAGATATGTGGATGAAGTATTGGAACTCCAAGTAGACTCTTTAGGGGTGCTGTTGGCCCAGAGATTTTGCTAATGGATGACAATGCTCGGCCTCATCGAGTACATATGGTTTCAGAATACTTACAGACAGAAGCTATCACTCGAAAGTATTGGCCACCTTACTCACCCGACTTGAACCCGATTGAAAGTGTGTGGGATGCCTTACGGCGCTGAATTTCAGGGCTGCAAATTTTTCCCTGGACCCTCAAGCATCTGAAAGTGCACTTTTAGAAAAGTGATATATAATTCCACAGGACTTGATTAGCACTTTGGTAAAGTCTATGAAATCAAGATATGAGATGTGCATATATTTGTCCAAGGTGATCATATTAAAGAAACATTTTTCCGCAAGAGGTGACTTAAATGTTTAGTGACTCCATTTATTTTTTCCCTTATTTTCCAATTTCCATAAATCTGCTTTAAATTTCAGTACTTTGCGAATAATCAACTGCCAGACATTGTAATTTATGTTAACTAATGTACAAATTAAAAAAATTTTGTACAAATTTCTATTAATAATTTTTAAGTATCGGTAGTGTTTTAATTCTGTCATTACCACTAAATTTTGATCACCAGTGTATGTTGTGTCAACAAAGGTAAGGTACTGTCATAATTTGGAAGATACTTGAAAGATCGTACATCTTCTTTTAATTGAACGACATTTTCTTTTGGGATGGGGGATGTGCAGCATCGTCTCTTTCAGATGTTAATAAAAAGCAAAGAATTCGCTTTTGTACCTATCTCATTTTTTGAATTTATAATAATTTTTTTATATTGTTGAATTTATATTCTCGTCTGTAAATAATTTAAATTAGTACATTTTGTATTTAATTTTACTCCAAAGGAATTAATCTAATTTATAATCTTATAACAAAAAATTATAAAGTTTTATAATTTATCTAACGCAAGTAGAAACGCAAACAAATGTTTTGAATTATCAATGAATTATTTTTTTTTAAGAAACAGTTAAAATTCTAACCATAAGTTTTGTAGATGAACAAACAAACAAAAAAAGTGTTCGTAAAAAATCCATACACTATTTATTTGTTAGCGAAGAGAAAAAAAGAGGATCATGTTACTGGGATTCTTTTTAATGGAAGAATATTTATTTTGTAATGTTCTAGGGTTATTTTTTTAATACATAACTTTGTGGAGTAAATATTTCGAAATCAGTAGTGGAATAAATGTTTCAAAAGATCTTGATCGATATTAAGAAAGAAAAAGAACTTACGTAAGTAACAATACCGCTTGAATATTGAATTCCGAAATAAGAGCGAATGGTTAAGAACAAACATTGATCGGAAGGATAAAATTTGGATAATAGTCATTTTCGGTTTGGGCTTCAAAATGGCGGGATTTAGCGTGAAGGCCAAAGAAGATAAACTGGGAAAGATTTTCGATACAGTAAAAATTTGATTCATAGAGTATTCTTAAAATATTCAAGCAGAGGAAAATAATTAAAACGATTTAAATTCGAAATAAATCATATTGTCAGAACTGATAAAATTCTAAACTGGTACTGTATAGCTTATTTTTTTGTTAGGCTCAACGAATAAAACGAAGAAATCTTCTCAACGAATAAAACGAAGAAATCTTTGGTACAGAGGATACTTATTTTTTTAAAAAATACAAAAAAAGACGAAGTAGCATTTTATTCAAAGTAACATTAACAATAATTTTTTATCAAAACTGGCTTGAATGTTTTTCATGAATCATACGTGGAAACTCTAATTACTTTCTTACAGTGACGATGAAATATATTATCTGCTTGAATAATAAAATTCTTGTGGTGTTTAACTTTATTTTATATCTTAAATTAATTTAATATTCTGTAAAATAACAATGTTTACAACAAATATTTTTTTTCATTTTCAGAGTAAAATAGGTAAAGGAACTAGCAGTAATGAGTAAATATCTTATTATTACGAGCAAATTATTATTCTGGGTTAGATATGTAACACGGTGTCGGAAATGTTTATTTATTATAGTGCAAATAATTTAGAAAGCGTTTTCACCTACATGTATTATGAATTATATACATGTACGATATGTCAGAAAGATTGTTAAAAGACTGAACAAGTGTAAAAATTAACTAGCTGTATTATATTGCTTTGAAATCGCTTAATTTAACAAATAAACTGTCAGGTGTCTTTAAATGTTTATGTTTTTAATATTAAAATTCAGTCTTTACAAGTATTAAACAAATGAAAAAATTCGCTATACAATAATTACTTTTGGTATAAATAGTTCTAAGCTTTTACCATTCAAAGCACCAACATTTCTGTGAACGACATTTGGAAATTTAAAGACTGTTTAAACTTTCTGGTTCAGAAAGCAACGTGACATAATACAGGGTGGTAATAAGAAATTTCCCCGATATATGAACCTTCAGCGTCTATCCGAGCTAATCGAAATGAATATTCAGAGCTTGTAATACGAAGTTATGCGCTCGCGATTGTGATGATTTTTTTTTATTACGTACTCCGCCATTAGGCGCTACACGGAATTGTGACGATTTAAAACAAGGGACTCCAAACTTTTCAGCCCGCGGGCCGTATTGGCTCGTTCACGGAGCTTCGAGGGCCAAGATCCAGTTAATTCATCATACCAAGGCGATGCAACTATGATGAACAGCCTACGAGTTTTCAAACTAGACAGTGCGATTTTTGTGATTAGATCTATACCCTATGATCTCACGAACAGCCTTCTTTAGACTTTCATGCAGTTTCACCTAACATAAATTTCTTAAAGCTGTTTTTAAACATTTGCAAAAATATATTTTAGTCCCAGATTGTTAAGAGATTTTTCCAATTTAGTATGTACTTTACTTTTCAATCGATTTATCAGCGCATCTTGTTTACATTTTCATCAGGTTCAAACTTTCGCTCATAAGTATTTCGTATTTGGAGCAAGTTTCGTGTGAAAAAAATATCAATTGAAACAAATTACAGCATATACAGAACAAAAATTAAGATTTAAATAAAATCACTACTGAAAATTTCTATGAACCAACTTAGAATACTACTATGAAAGTAGGAACGCACGAAACCCTTATTAAACCTTAAAAGCACAATGGGAATTTTTGACTTCCTTATTCGAAGCAAGGGGAAGTATTGTAATTGCGAAAAATTTCGAATATCATATTTCAACGAAAATATCTTTTTTGACCGCTCTAGAATCCATTTGAACGATTTTTTGGCATGATATCTGTACGTACGGACAGAATAAAGGAATCTTTTTCCCAAAATGGATTTAAAGTGGATTCAGGAGATATTTGTTTCGTGACGTCTGTACGTACGTATGAATGTATCTCGCATAACTCAAAAATGAGTAGCCTTAAAACCTTGCAATTTTGTATATGGGACTGCTATAACGTGTAGTTGTGCACCTCCCTTTTTACTTGAAACCGGCTGGATCAAAATTCTATATATGTCTACCCACTCTGTTACCCTTCTCGGTGAGCTTAGTTTTTTTCCATTCTTATATGTTTGTAAATTGTGCAATTTTTGTTTTCGAAATGATTCAGTTATATTGTTCCTATATTATATTTAAGGTTTTTGACTTTAGTTAATCTGCATGCAATAGTTGTAGAATTATCAATAATTCACAAGTTGTTTAAGCGCTACTAAGCCTAACGAAGTCGCCATTTGTTTACATTTTAAATTCTTGTTTTGTTTGAAGGTGTTTTAAGTTTCTATGTATTTTTGCTTCGTTGCGAAGTGAGAACTGAATTGATTGGATGAGAACTCTAATGAAATTCCAGGAAATGAGTTTAAATGAAGTGCAGCAAAAAATGTGTATAATTTAAAGGACATATGAGAAGTCCTGTGAGTCCACATGAAATTTTTTATATAAAATATTAAGTACTAGCGATTGTATAATGCTTATAATATGTTTTTTTAAAGAACGTTCATGATAGGCAACGCATTTCTAGATTGGTTGTAATATAAAATAGTTAATGTGTATGTTATTTGCTCCCTTAAATTTTATAAAATAATTTTAGAGAAACCCTTGGCGGGCCAGATTTGACTCTTGTGCCGTAGTTTGGAGACACCTGATATAACAGTATAAAACAATAGAGCTCTCACGGTTGTGGTTGCAGTGGAAAAAATATCGAAATTTTGAATGGCAACACCCATGTTTTTCCTGAGCAAACTGATTAGCGCAGTAAAAAACCATAAATGGCCTTGAAACGATACACGTACGACGTAAACTGTCGGCGTAAAACATTTTCAAGGAAAACCGTTGTAAAGGTTCAAAAAGAGGAAGGGGAAAATTTTTTTATTGGAATTTACAACTTTTCTACGTGTACAACTTTTCAAGATAGTCATGTTCCGTAACTGTAGTTTCATAGCCACAGCGATTCCTCCACCCTGGTTCTGGGGTTATTTGAAGTCTAAGGTGTATACATCAAGTCCACGAAGTTGCTAGAATTGAGAAAGATGCCATAAAAACGTGAAGTTATGCGATGTTATGCGTACGCTATTGTTGTCAACAATCTACAGTATGCAATGCGTTATCGTCTGCGAAAGTGGAAACGTTGAAATCTTTGTGTTTCCAATAAAAGTTTTTTCCCCCTTTCCTCTCTTGTGTTTATTATTAGTCTTTTACAATGCTTCTCTTTGTAAATGTTTTACGTCAGCAGTTTTCATCATACGTATATCGTTCCAACGCCATTTATCGTTTTTCCATACGCTGGAAAAAGTGGGTATTGTGATTAAAAAAATTCGAAGTGTTTTCACTGTGACCGTAACCATGAGAGCTCTATTCTTTTAAATAGCGCATACCTTCAAACAACAATAACTAAAATTTCAATTCGATTAATTGAGCGGATTAGGCCGCTAAGTGCTCATACATCGGGGAATTTTTTTTATGACCACTTTGTACTTTCAATTTTATTGCTTATCAGAAAAGTAGAAGAAATTTATTAACTTCTGCTTTGTCATTTGTTGTTTAAGAGGTCTGATTGTATATTCTATGCTTGTGAATATAATCTAAGAATGAAACCCTGTTTTCGATGAGAGGATTATGCCATTAAACAAACAAATAAATAAGGATGTTCCTTACTTATTTGTTTCCAAACTTACTTCCTCCAAAAAGCTCAATTCCAGGAGCAAACCAAGCACTAAGTATGCAGAATATGTTTACTTCTTAAAGATGAAATAGCTCACTGCATAACTTCCCTTAAATTACAAGATTTTGCTAGAAAATGAAAGCCACTTAAAGCTTGATTATGCCTAATTTCACCAATGAATGAATAGTGCACAGTAACAATGAATGAGGTCAGTATTAAAAAAAATGTTTGCATAGTCTTCTGAGTTCCGATACTGTGTTTTTTGAAATATTGATTTAAATGTTTGTTGTGTTTTAAAAAAGTTTTATTTTCTTAAATTTTCAATTAATTTCATGCTGTTTCTCAGGTGGTATCCTCCTGGCCACGGAGACTTCTACGAATCCTTCTTCAACTCTGGCCTCCTGGAGATGTTCATCAGCGCCGGCAGGGAATATTGCTTTGTTTCGAACATCGATAACCTGGGCGCCACCGTCGACCTCAGTATCCTTTTGATGTCAGAAATGTCCTTAATGGGGTCTTTTTCCGCGTTACTTTACCGTATAATGTATTTGTCATCCACACGTTTTTGCAAGTTTTCTATTGCACAAAACACTGCATTGCTGAACATCAGTTACAGTCAACCTTCAGGTTACCAATGATCAGTAGTCATGACGATCACTGGTATCCTTCAATTTAATTTTGTTTGAATAATCTATCTAAATTTGTTGCTCCATCTAGCGTCATCACATCCGTCTATAAGTCACTAGTGGCTTTGGTGAGCACCTGTGTCCTTCGATTTAATTTTATTGTAATGAACTAATAAATTTATTACATCATATCACATCGGTGACATCAGTCTGTAAGTCCCTAGTGAACAAACAGCACCTCTGACACGCACTCGTGTCCTTCGATTTCATTTTGCTTTAATAATCTACGTATATGACATAGTTAATTTTAAATACATTTAATTTAAATACGTGAGAAGGCTAATTTTTCTTTAATAATCGCACGCTTAGTTTATTATAATTATCACAAAAAAGGAAAAGTATCTAATGACGTTAATGATTCTAGCTAGTGCGATTTCAGGGTCCTGCCAGTTATCAATAATAATACAGATGAAGGACTATAGTTTTGCTTTCAAATTGCTTAGTTTGTTAATCAGTAACAAATGTTGCCATTTAGCGAAGCGTAAGAAAATAATATCTTACGCTTCGCTAAATAGCAACAGACTGGTGCGTGAAAGATAAAAAAAAAGTATTTTATATCGGTCAGTAGCAAAACGTTTCTTTTAAATCGCTGAGATTTTATTTATTTATTTATTTTTTAAATTAGACCTGAAAGACTAGTATCTTAGGCTTTACCGAATGGCAATATATTGAGTTTTTCGGATTAAATTTGAAGCATTAACTGAGCACTTTGGCAACATATTGCTTTTAAATCGTTGAATTCATTGATCAAGAATGATATAAATTCACAGAAAGTGGGAACTGATTAATAAACAAATTCGAAATTGAAAATTGCGGCTTCGAGGTACAGATATTCAGTTACAGAACTGCGAGTGTTCAGAATTTGGTGCGAACGGGCTGGCTGCATGGCTGTTTTCGTGGTTTTCCCAATGTGTAACTTGTATACGAGCCAGTTTTCCCTTAGAAAGTCCTCCACCCACGTCCTTCCCTTCCCTTAGGCAGATAGCCCTCGAGGCTTTGCCGTAATTAAGTAACCTAATCAGAATTTGGTTCTAGCTGCCATCATTTTTTTACTGTGCGAAGAACATGCATACAGGTTCTTCATTACTTAATAAAAGATATTTTAATGCCATATATTACGTACTGTGTGCAAAATCTTCTTTCTAATTCCTCCCTTTTAATTCTGGTATTGGGGGAAATTCATTCGAAGCACTTCTTTGCAGCTTTACCTCTAAGCAACTGGAAGGATTAAAGACCGATTAGCGAAGTCTACTAATTTACTAATTAAGCTCGTTAGCGTTGCTGTTTAGACAGTAATAAGAGTTTATGATCGGTCTAGGGAGTTCCGCTTTTCTTTAATCCACGCTAATATTACGAGCTTCGAATACTCATGGATATGTAGAAACAGCTTTATTTTTGTTTCAGCATCGAGAAAATTTTGAAGAATTGTAAAACTGCTTAGAGTGATTTACATGAATTTCTTTAAACGAAAGACCTCAGAAATATTTTTATCAGAATCTTCCCAAACTTTTCAGAGTTACGCCACAATTCATTTAACATTCAAGCGCCTGGTCGTGTTTCGATATTGAGTGAAGCGTAAGATCTTTACGTTTTCTTCCATGAAACCTGGCAGATGACTACTTTTTACAGTGTTCATTGTCGACGTGATATAAGATTTTTAACTAACCTTTCGGATTAAAATTCCTTTGCGTAGCTTTTTAACTGAACAGCTTAAAAGTAAGTATAATTTCAACTTTTATTTTATTCCTTAATAATTTATCTAATTTAAATAGTTTAAAATATATTTAATTTATTATACATAGAGTATATAATTTTTAGATCATTTGTAATATTATAATTATGTTTCTAATGTTAAATATTACATATCGCGAAAAACACTCATTTAGTTCCTCCCCCTCATCCAGTATTAAAACAATTTCATTGTTTGATTTTATAAGGTAGGTTTAAGTACTTAATCCGATACCGTTTAAATTCGTTACAATTTCAGGTAAGAAATGATATTATCATATACTTTTCTTTTAACTATTCTATAAATATAAAAAAGATGGATTCTGTATCTGTATAATACTTATTAAATTTTTAATTTTCTATAAATATAATTTAAATATAATTGCATGATGTACCATATGGTAATGTTTGATTTTGACATTATTATTGCTAACATTAATGAGAAAATGTTCACTGGTGTTTCTGAAATTAAAGCATTTCGACCAAATATAAATAGCAATACTCTTTTCGATGAATTATTGGGCCATTTGCAAGATCTTCTTTTAACGAAAAAAAAACGAATCACGTATTAGATGATCGCATTTACTTTCTTGGTATATTGAAGCTGTTCAGCAAGAAAAGTATTAACTGGTCTGAATACAATGTCATGAAGAAAAATTAAGTGATAATTAAGTAAATTGCTTCACTTATTTTAAATTTTCAAGCCTACGATCTAAGACTTAAGAATTTGTCTGTAATTGAGGGATAAATAAAAGTAGAAAAATATTTCGTACCTTTTTAAAATTAAATAACATTTATAATTTGTATAAGTAAGTTTTATCGTTGAATTAAATTAATATTCATTCCGAAAAACATTTTAGTTTCCAATGTTTAATTACATATTTCTGCCTTGAATGCGAATCAGTATAAAAAAAAAAAAAAAAAAATATTAGAAAGCTCAATTACTGTTTGAATAAAATTTAAAAGAAGGAAACATAGAGAATTATAGATTGTACATTTTACAAAATTCTATTATTGCTTTTCTTTCTCTTCTTTTATTTTCTCTGCCTTCCCCCCGCATTGCAGATGATAATGTTTTGAAAAACAGAGATAGGAGGAATTTTGCCATCGATCAATGAATGAGGTAGTCTTCTGAAACTTTTTGTCTGACATAATTGCGTATTATCTCTTTTCATCTATTCACCTGTCTGGGGAAGGGAAAAAAAGAGAGAGAAAGGAATGTTTTAGTAGAAAATGATCTAATAATGAAATTTTAATATATGCATTAATAATTACTTAATATTTATAAATTAGCAATTATGAATAAATATTCATAATTAAAGACTTCAGAAATGTTCGTAATCCAGCAAAAGTTGTGTTATGGTTCACACTTTGGAATCATTGTTATGGGGTATTAAAATATATTTTATTTATCACACTTATGTATAAAATAGCATCTGTTGCAAAGTATTATTGAGAAATGCAGATAAAAAAGTGAGTCAGTTTCATAAGCTGTTGGACAATATACCGTTATAACGTAGATAATGAATGAAAGATAATTCCCGCCATCGATTGGTAAAAATGATAGTGTTAGGTTTTTGATGTTCGCTTGTAAGAGTAATGGACAAGGCTGCAGAAAGTGATTGAAAAATGTCTTTTGGAGGTACGATATATATTATTTTAATGCAAATATTAAAAGATACCTGATAAATTACTTCAGTATATTTTTGAAATGCCAGGTTGCTTTAGTAATATGGGTATGGCTTTCAAACGGGTGTTTTAAAGGGCGGGCATTGTCTTAAATTCAAGTGATATGATACATAAAACCATTTTGCTAAAACATGAACATTGATTAAAATATCAGTAAAATTAATTTGTGTTAAATAAATAGTTGTTTGTTTCAATGCAAACTTGTCGTTCTATTATAAGTATCTGTACCTGTATATCATTCTGGCTTTCAGTTTTTATACGATTTCTTTCATTTATTTTTACCTTAATGCTTGTTTGATATCTTGAATACGTTGCTCCATCCCGGAGAATCCTCGAGTCACGAATTCGTGATGGAAGTCACAGACAAGACGAAAGGTGATGTCAAGGTAAGGTTTCGTCTACTATGTGTACACTTATGCGTGGAATTTTGATTTGAATGTGTACTCGGGCACTTTTCCATCATTGTAAAATCGAAGAACATGGTATTTTTTACGCTTCGTTATAAACAGGGCCGTTCATCGCGAGGGTGTAGCGCGTAAGTGTACGCAGGTGGCCAAAATCAGGAGCGGCGGACTCTCGCGATACCACGCCTAAATATTTTAAATTCATTGTAAGTGCCTGTCATATATAGGTACTTTTTATACAATTTGTCATTTGTAAGTACTTGGGGAATATGAAATAAAAATTTTATTAATCACTGAGCACTTTTTTTTAAATTTGGGAGCCGCAATCTTAGGAAAGTACGCGGACAGCCAATGGCCTAGGAACGGCTCTGGTTATAAAACAATTGAGAATTCGATCTAAGGAAAAAAGGCCTAAAATATTTGTTGTTTGTAATTGTAGTTGCGATTTTGTAGTCGGTGGCGCCATCTGTCGATAAAACTTGAAAGTGTCTTAGTTTCCGTCAGTTAGCATTGAACTGAAGAAGGATTCGGATCGTAGGGTCATGGATGAACTGAAAATACACTTCAAACACGAGAGTTAAACACAATATTTCATGTCGACACTACTATATAGTACGATACATATGCTGTACATACGGCGTTTAACATTTATATAAGAACTAAAAAGAACCATTTAATTCTTTTGATGAAATATTTACAAAGTACTTCTTCATGTTTCTTTTTATACCAATCTTGAATACTGAATACAAATTTTAATTGTAAAATGAATTATTTTACAAAATATTTTATGTAAAGTCAAGGAAAAGAAAAACATTCTACAAGTTGATAGGTTTCGAAACAAGCTTTAAGTTATTCATAGTGTTATAAACAGTTTTCGTCGTAGACCCAAACTTTTATGAAGAAGGTTCTCGTAAATAATCTTTCAAGTCAAGTTAATTAAAAAAATATAAACATGTTATTTTTTAACTTTCGCAGAAAAATAAATTTCTTGCAGGTTTATGTTCAGTGCTTAAACTGCGCCGGAGGACGTCCTCCGGTACTTCTCAGTTTTTGCGATAAATCATAATGTTAGCCTAAGCGCACAGGAGCCCTAAATAAAATGAACCTAGACACTTCTTTTGTAAAACTGGGCCACAGTTTCAGAAAAAAGTTCTTTGATTTCGTTATGTTTTATTTTTAAAATAAAAATAAGTAAAACAATAGCAATAAACAATGTTAAGATAATGAGTAACTCTTAGAGTGACCTATTTCTCCAGGAAACCAGCATGGGTAGAAGTTTTGAGATGCTTTAGATAAGAAAACCTCTGCTCATCCACATGTCTAATTACTTGCTATTCCATTTTCGTTTATTTGCTCCTGTTTCATTAAGTGGGAGAAAATTTTAGGCTAAAAGTACACTATTTTCCTTTTCAGCTCAACTTCGGCGGACTGAAAGGGGACGAAGAAATTTAGTTTACTCTGTAAAAAGCGCAATAAATTTACAAGATCTTGTTTGGGAACGGGTAACTGCCATTGTATTTACCATCATGTAATTAGTTTGCAATTAGTTTCCTCTCAGGATAAGAAATTTATATTCTTAAGTGCGCGTTAAGTCATAGCAAGCATAATAAGTGAAAAAAAAAATTGTTAAAGCACGTCCTATACTACAGTCTTCTTCTGTAACCAAATATGGGGAACGAAAAGTATCAGTTCTACGGAATCTCAAGTTTGTTCTCAGCGAAGATACGGGTTTTCCATCTTTTTTCTTAAAATAAACTCTGGTGCACATTTCACTTGATGGTTATAATTATATTAGCAGGGGCTTTCTGCCTCCCACCGTTCCTGCTCATTTTCTTTCAAAGTTTCCATTCATGCTTTCACACTGATTTCTGTACACTTATCAACAATTTTTGTGCTTATAAAATATAGTTCTTTTTCCCTACAATCCTTTGAAATAGTACATTATATTGTATATTACAGAATACGCATTTTCCTTTCTCACCTGTTTTTTTTGAAGATGAAATTAATTCGTCCAAAACCTTCCGAACGTACGAGACAAAATGCAGTTATTTTGCATTACTTTACGAAGTGCTACTGTATGTAAAACAGTGAAGTTTACAATGTACACTGCCCTCCAAAAGTTTAGGAACAGCATGTCTTTTGTGTCTAATTTGAGAATGAAGCAAGACAGAAACAAGAAATTTAAAAGAGATCTTCACTTCATTAAACAGTTCTTTAAAGAATGCGATATAGAATGTTTCTGAAGTTCAATACAAACATTAATTACAACAAAAAAATTGCACTCTTGCCGGAGAAATCCAGTCTTGGAGAAACACTATATCACAGTTTTTTGCGGAAAAATGGGGAGGTAACATTACAAAAATTGCTTCTGATAAGGGATATATCCACCCCTAATTGCAATACACTGGCGGCAGAGCCGTTCCATGCTGTCAATTAAGTTGTCGGTCAGTGAAATGGAAAGAAACGACCAGACACGGAGTAATCATAGTTCAATCACCCCCCGTCCTTGGGTTCATCTAACGACCTTGGAAGAGGACTTAAAGCAGCAACCTATCTCCCAAGGTAATAACAAAGATGCTCTATCGGATTCAGGTCTGGGGATTGAGCTGGCCGTTCCATCCGTTCCATACCGTGACCCTCAAGATATTTTTCAACAACCCGAGCTCGGTGCGGTCGCGCATTGTCGTCCATCAGAAGAAATCCAGGACCAATAGCAGCGGCATATGGGCGAACATATTGATCAAGAATATCGTCTCGATATCTCACTCCGGTCAAAATTCCTCCATTGAACACATACAGGTCAGTATGACCACCGAGAGAGATCCCAGCCTAAACCATTATTCCACCACCTCTGTAACCGTGTCTTTCCACAATGTGTGATTGTTTGTATCTAGTGCGTTGTTCTGTCCAGATCAGTTGACGACCTGAATCACTCTCCAGTGTGAACTTGGACTCGTCTAGGAAGAGAACAGACACTCATTGTTGACTGTCCCAAGAGACGTGTTCTCTCGCTCAACATAAACGGGCACCTCTGTGTCCTTGGGTTAAGGGAACACAAACAACTGGTCGTCTTGCATACAAACTTGTATTGTGTAGGCGTCTGCGCAAAGTAGTAGCCGAGATTCTTGTTCCTGTTGCCACTAAACGATCTGCCATGAGCTGAAGTACAGTTATGTTACTCCTCCTTCGGGCCGAAAGAGCTAAATTGTGGTCTCCGACAGGTGTTGCAACTCTAGGTCAACATGCCTTCTAGACACAGAATACTTGGATTCAAACTGATTCCATAGTCTGTGGACGACACTACGAGAGACATTGAGACGTCTAGCTACATCAGCTTGCGACACCTCCATTTCCATCCTCCAATCACCCGCCACCGCAATGAATCGAGGCAAACGACTTCTCCTGGTCATTGATAGACTCTTCTGGATATTTTCCACGAAACTGTAATAACAACTGAAGATCAATACTCGTGAACAAAAACTGCAATTTTTTTGCATTTTTTCCTCCATTTTCTATATAGGTATTCATTTCTATAAAATAAAACTGGTAGCTATTGTTTTTGCATACATTTTCTTAAACGTGTTTACTGTCAAGCATATGAACTATGGATTTAAACGTAACTGACATTTTTGTAATCTGTGAGCTTTGAAAAACATGCTGTTTCTTAACTTTTGGAAGGCAGTATACTTTATTGCAGAGGTCTCAAACGGGCGGCCCGCGAGTACATTTCAGTTATGTACTTGTGGCAAAGATTTCAAGATTTAGTTATATAAAAGTTCGAGTTTGCAGTTATTTTCATGATCATTAAAAATGAGCATGAATAACGCTCCAGAAAATCTATAATTGAAGCTAATTAATTTAAAATGTGTTATAATTAAATTTTATTAAAAATTTTGAACACGTAAATTTTACTACCATTTATGCGTACTTGTGAAAAGAAAATAAGCGTAACGAATTTTTGTGCTAAGAATAATCACTTTATTTGGAAATATGTAAAGGGCCTAAATGGACCCAACTTGAGCTTTGAGCATCTACAATCTGTGTTGAAGATAGTTTGTAGTATTTTCTCCTTAAGGCTACAGACTTCGATCAGAATCGAAACGCTATTAAGTGTCAAGCCGTAGTAAGAGATAAAAAGGTGTATAATTATTTCCACACTAACATATGTATTTGTATTTATACATCGAAGAAAAGTCTATCAAAGAAATAGATTAGATTGTTATTATTAATCCTGCAGGCCCACTTGAAAAATTTTCCCAATTTGCTTGTTTTTAGTTTTCAACTGAAGTAAGTTATTTAATGATTAATTAAACATGCTACAAATTTCTTTAAATATCTGCTATTTTTAAACCAGGGATCTGTAACCAGGGCTGGTAATTTAAACCAGCATTGTAGTACTAATATTAAATGTCTCTCCACGTAACATGTTTTAGCAATTACAGCAGTTGAATTGCATAATAAACATACGCTTTATAATAAATTAAAAAAAAAAATTCTTCCTACTCAACACTAGGCCCGCCAGGAGTAAATTCACTGAATGGTTCCCTTTCCAGGCAATCGGGCTGGTTACATGGGCGTTTGCGTGGTGTTAAATTTAGTAACGTTTTTTGTATCAAATTTAATGTTAAAATTATAAGTTAGTATGAAGCTAAATGAAATTTAAAATTTTACGTTTGAAAGATTTGAGGATAAGTTTTTGTGTTTTTATAGGAAAATCATTCAAGATAAATATTTTCATCCACAGTAATGAAGATCAATATTGACTCGGGAATAAATGAATGAAAAGCATGTTTCACAATCACAAATAAGCTGTAATTTACTTTTTACAATATTTACTCACCTTTCATTCTTTCTAAGCTACCGCATTATTGATTTTCTCGCTTTACAATTATTTCATGGTGTATTTAATTTTTACATTCACCAATGGAAGATCTTTTTTGAATAATTTTGGCAGCAGAAAAATTGAAAGTGTGATTTTCGGATCAACAATGTTGGGCATATGTTCTAACATACTTTAGAAAAAAGGAAACACAGAAGTCATCTGTTGCCCAACATTGTTGGTCCGAAAATCATACTTTCAATTTTTCTCCTGCCAGAATTATTCAAAAACATTTTCCATTGGTGAACTGGATTTTTTAGAGGCATTTCACATTCAACAAAATCTTTCTATTCTAGTTAACGAATCTAATTCCAATCCATCTTTGCTTTCAGCCTTTAAAGAAATTATGTTTTAGTTATGGTTTTATCAACACATGGTGCCAGTAGCTTATCTTCTGTCCAGGCTTTCTTATATTATCTTAATTAATCATTATATCTTATCTCTTTCATTTGCGCTTTTGCAGCTGAGGATGATTTTTCGGTAAAACCATCGAAACTAGTCCTGTGAAATTTGAAAATATAACGCTGATTTTTGTTGTTTGACTTCTAAATTAATATTTGTTCGGCGTGTTAATGCATCTTAACAAACGAGTTTTAATATAATTACTGCTGCTATTTCACAAAAAAATGTTTTGTTTCTTTTCAGGGTGGGACTCTTATCCAATATGAAAATAAGCTTCGCCTTCTAGAAATACCTCAAGTCCCAAAAGAGCGTGTAAGTATGTTTTATTTTCTTATCGAAAATTCCTCCGCCATTCATAAATGTTTAAGTTTACATGAAAATTTACAAGTATATTAAAAATAATAATTTGATGAGTCTAAAATAGCAAGTGTCTTATACCTTTAACAGAAGTGCATTTATTTTCCAATTTAGCAATTAGACAACAGCGACCGAGCGGTAAAAGTCGCTGAACATTGATAGTTCGACCTTATTTTCGCGGTTTTCCCTATGTGTAACGTGGATTTGAGCCTGTTTTCCCTTAAAAAGTCCTCTACGAAGGCACCTCTTCCTATAGGCAGATAGCCCTGGAGTTGTTTTACCTTAATCAATTAACCTAACCTAACTTAACATTAAACAACGGGCTGCGCTTGTTGCTTTTCAGTTGCAGATAACGCTACAGACGCTTTCTGCGCCGTAATTAAATAGCCTGAAATACTTTTCTAATAAAATGTTTTAAAATCGGGTCCATGTTTATCGACTACGCTCTTTAATTGAACCCTAACCCTCAGTATTTTCCTTAGCAAGTACACTGAACTCGAACTTCCTGTGGATTCAGTATTCGGATATGCTTAAAACTCATTACCATTCACGTACTCCTAGACAGGTAGACCTATTTTCATACCGGATAATAACAGTTAAGCAACTTTCTTTACATATGTCGAGCAGTGTCTGTGTCTTTTTCTTCGTTATTTTGCTTAATCTTCTAGTGATTGTAAATTCTGCATATTTTAATCAAAAAGAACAATTGGAGAGGAAAAAACTGTTTAGCAACTCATAAACGTAACAAATAACTTAAACGTAACAAAGAATGTAAAATTCATACTATCCAGAAAGCCGAAATCAACTTGCTTTTAATAAAATAAAAATTACAATGCTCCTGAAAGCTTAAAATATGAAACTGTAACAGTTTTCTTTTTGTACCTGAATATATATTAACATTCTGAAGATTTGTGAAAGAAAAGGAGGGGGAAGAATGTAACCAAAAGGGAAAAGAAAGTAAAAATTTACTGGAGCAGTATAACTTTCCTTGGAATAATTTCAACTTGGATTTTCTTTTTTTCCAGGTGGACGAATTCAAAAGTGTCAACAAGTTCAAGTAAGTGCAAGAGTTATTCCCTTTCTCCGTGGCAATTCAGTCCACTTATCCGATAATCGATATAAAGATTTTCATCACGTCTCTTGGTCGATAGTTCTTCTGCCCGAAAAACGTCCTGTTGTGCACCAGGGAGTCATTGGATTCGAAAGTGCTAATTTAAGGAAAGAGGTTTAATCTGTAAAAGCAGAAGAATCAACAAAAACGATTTTCTGCTCTTACCTACTTAAGTAAATTTTCGACCCCGAAAATTTAAATTGCCAGGGAGGACATTAAGGCGCATTGTATCATTGCAGTTAATTTCTTAAATCATCGAATGGGACAATATCAGAAAGTTTTTTCAGGTAGAATTGCGGTTATCCGGATCACTTGGTATGGAAGCGTTTTTGGTACTAGTATTAAATATAGTTTTAATTAAAAAAATTAAAAATAAGTATATAAATAAATAAACGAAATTTTGCCTGACTCGACACCGTCACTCTTTAATTCCTTCAAATGAAACTTGAAAATTTTAATTTTAAAAATAGGTTTCGTTTAAGTCGCATTAAAAAAAAGGATGTCTCTATATTAAGAAAAAAAATATTTTTATTAGAACGTTTTTCCTTTTAAATTATTAAATCTCTATTTCCTAGATGAGTTTTTTGAATAATATCGTTATAATTGTATTATACGTTAAATGAAAAGCGTTTAACATTATAAAAAAACATACAATTAAAAAATAATTTTTATAAGTAACCGTACATTTTCAGTTTCTGGAATCTCAGCTCGCTTTCGAATTTCTTCACGGAACGGCAAATTTTCCCAGTAGTTAGCAACAACAGAAATTAATAATTTAATTAAATACCTAATGGTAATTAGAAGCAATTTAGCAATAAGTGTGTCCCTGATTATCAAAATTTATTGGACGAAAACTATTATAGTTAGACATACATGATCTTTTGGAAATGGTATCTGAAGTGTTTACATTTTTTTAGAAATAGCTGTATTTTAGTAAATTGCAATGTACGTAACTCGGAGAATATCTAGCCGGTATTTTATTTCTCTCCACCGGCCTTCGACTTCAACTCTGCAACATTTGACGCACCATCTGGTATTCTGACGTATGTAATATCAATATTACTAACTGAAGTGATGAAGAATCTTATCTTGATGTATCCATCTTCCGACCCACGAACGCTGTTAACCGCATGATCACACGCGGTAGGCCTGCCACTTCTTTTAAAGTCACTGGCGCTATCAGTTTCGTTAAAACTTTTTCATACTACTTCCTGATGCTCTTAACCTAGAGATTTGCGTCCATACAAACTTCTGAACCTCTGGTGACGGGCGATTTATTTTCGTAAATACACTTAGCCTTTTCTTTTATCGACGCTACTTCATTTTACTAATTATTCCTCGATTCTATCTATTGAATCGCTAAAGAACTATAAGATTATAAGATTATAAGACTATGTAATGTTAAAAAATTCGTATTTCTATTTTCTGCATTTACTTCGTGTAAAAGTTTCAGTAATGACGGAAATACTTTATGCTTATCCTGTACGATTTTTACCATAGAATTAAAATATTTCTGTAGAATCGGTATAAATTGCTGCCCTATTTTGACATGTTAGAAATATAAAATTATATTACTCAATGTATGATATCAAATTGTTTAAAACACATTCTCGTAGAGCTGACTACATGAAATAGAAACAAATGCAGTCTTCAAAAGTTTTTTAACGTGTAAAGCATAGTTTATATGCATTCGTTAATTATAAAAGTTTTTTTTAAAGAAAGCGCATGTTTTAGTGTCATCTATTGTGTTAAACCTCTTACACACGGTTGCAATTATTATATTATAGAGGGACTACCTTGCTTTTATTCCAATTTATTAATTAATTTAGATGCTTTAAGTTTATTCTTCTTCAATCCTGCAGCTATAGAGCAGGACAAGTTAAAAAAAATTTAATTCTAATTTTTAGAATATTTTTATATTTCTTTTTATATCTATCTCTCTATATACTTAAGCATAGTGATTTATGTGGGAGCGTTTACTTAAAATGGATAAAAAATCGCTAAACATACTTTTTAAACGGCTTTTCTACGGGCCATGAGATATTTATTTATTTACATTTCATCCTGGGATTAAATTTGTTTTCGTCCTTTTGAAGAAAAGTTTCCTTTAATATTTATTTATACTCATGTTGAGAGGCTGAGAGATTTCTTTGAAAAATAGTTCTGACAGAATGGCTATTCTATTTACACTCGCATACAGAAAAAGTGAAAATATCCAGTAGGGGAGCCAGCAATTTCTACTTCACAAGTCTAAATATTTTTCAAGGGTCTTTTCGTAACGATCAAATATGAATATATGCAAAATCGCAAGTACTTCGTTTCGAATTATTTCTTTCGAATACTTTAGAATTCAACAAGAATATCTGTTGACAGTAAAAATTCAGCATATACTTAATTTAATAATTTAATTAATTTTATAATTTAGGAAAATTGGATATAATTTAGGAAAAAGTGTTTTATTTATTTTTTATTCCTAATCTATTTAAAATTTTCTAAATTGCCGTAACGTGTTCCTAATTCCTCTAATTTTTGTATTACTGGGTAAGGGATATTAGATTAAGAAAATACTTCGAATAAAATAAACAGATTTATCTAGTAAAAATATTATAAAAATCACATATGCGCTAAAAGGTGTATCAGCTCTTAACTTCTCTAGCGGTTTAAAGTTATTCTAACAGTCCGATGGAGTCCTTTTGATCTTAAATGAAAAGAGGTTCCATATCATTCATTAAAATAAATTGTTGCCGTGATTTATCTCGTTTGCCTGAAATCAGAGTAAGCCCACGAAATTCATCGTGGCAAGGAGTCACGATTGCGCCTGTCGTTGGAAAGCTCCTTGGGCAACATACAGGAGACAGCACTGCTTTGTTCAGTTCGGCATCCAGTTTTTAAGGGAAGCACTCCGGTACACGGTTCCGATGGTCTCCCACTCCTCTTCCCCTATTTGAGTCCTCATGCCACACAGCACTACATCACTTGTGCATTCATCGACTTTCGAGTTAGACGGACGCTTTTCTCCTCACTGCTGAAAGAATGACCTTGGGCGTGATTCTGAGTTCAACTCGGAGCGTTGAAGGAGCTTCAGCCCCCCGTTCTGATTTTCCCTGCACTGGATTTTGCGTATTTCCTTTTGCTGTTAGGGGCTAATAGTAGGTTGGTGCTTTGGCCCCGGCTACGAGCACCGTAAAAAGGCCTAGCGAACCTAACAGCACGGCCACGTGTCTGTTGTTTCTACGACCTCTGCTCTTTACCTATTGAACAATGATTGAAAAGCTATTTGACTTTCTCGGAGTGCTAATCACGGAGTACGAAGTGAGACCTGATGACAAGCCACTCACTGCTAAGGAGAGTATGGAACTACGAGTACTTCGCGGTTTCAGAGCCACACTCCACAAAATGACTACCCAAGGATCTGAAAACACTGACGTTAAGGAAAATATACCTGCTAGGAACCAACCGGAACCTGGACAATCTATGACAAACTTGGCTGCGGAATCTATGATAGTGGATGAAACGCGGACTAGCAGTAAACGCCCGCTCAGTCCTACCATTGAATTCAATATTCCAGTCGCTAACAGATTTTCCTTTGCTGAAGAAGGAACTCCACTGGACATGGACAGTTCGGATGATGGAAATTACACAGAAATTAAGAAATCTGTCCGGAAAACTAGGCGAACGCACGGGAAATGCCGTACCCCAGCTATAAACACAAAAGGTAAAGAAAAATCTGTGAATCCTGTTCCTCAGGAAGAGAAACTTCTGAATCCTGCCGCTTAGGAAGAAGAACCACGCGATTCGTCTGCCGTGATCGACACTGCCTTTCATCAACCAATCAGTGTGGATGGCCCTAACACTCGAACACACGAGGTTGCTGCCAGTAGTCATGATAATGTGGCGCCATCTATTGGGGATACTGAAAAGTCAGATCACGCGAGTATGTCTTTGGCAGAAAACGTAGCTCGGCCAATCAACATCTTGGATGAGGTCACGTGCCCGGCTGGGCCAATGGATAGTGATGCTCGTGAAACTCAGACTGGAGCAGCCCGAACTGAGGGTCAGTTCACATTCCCGCACAGGACTGCGAAAATGCCGCCGATTTGCATTCGAGAATGCAAGTACAACTGGAAAGCTTTCACTGTAACTGCTTGAAAAGGAACAACTGACCGATTTCACCTCGAAAAAGAAAGGTGAAGGCAACTATGAGATACACACAAAAAATTCGGATACCTTCCGAAAGCATGACTGCCCTTTTCGACAAAAAAGAACTTTCTTATCACTCGTTCCTTCTCCAACCTCAAAGTTGTGATAAATCTTCCCATTGATACGAAACCCACGGACATTCAGGAGAAACTCCGTGAAAAAGATTTCACTGCACTCAAAGTGGAACAACTGATGAAAGGCAGAAAAAAAGATAGGGCTAAAATGCCCTTATTTCTGGTCACTCTTTCTAAGAGCACTAGGAACAATGAGATATATCATCTGAAATATCTAATGTACTTGCACATTAAAGTCGAAAGATATCGTGGTTGGCGCCGGTCGACACAATGCTTTCGATGTCAAAGATACCATCACGCGCAGGCGGCGTGTCACCACCCGCCTCGCTGCTGTAAGTGTGCAGGCCCTCATGAAAGCCGGGATTGCCCGGAACCTAAAGATTCTGAGCCGAAATGTTGTAACTGTCTGGGGAAGCATACCAGCAACTGGAGGGGTTGTGAGGCCTTCCCTAAGCAGAAACCCAAAGTCCTCAAGTTTGATGAAAGGGTCATTGTCAATAAATCCTACTTCCAGGCTGTTCAATCTGATATTTTTGTGGGGTAAATTCAGAAAGCTGTAGCGGACGCTCAGCAGGTCATGAAGAACCTCGCTGATCTTATAGCGCTTCTACACAATACAACTGCCATGGCAGAAAAGCAAACTACAGTGAGGCCCGATACTAACATAAATTA